GTTCGGTTCGAGATTGACACTCTCGCTTAAACATCTAGAGGTTCGCTCCCAATAACTCTTCGTAACAAGGGATTGAACATAGACGAACAAGCTTGGGCATACAACATAGGCCAAATATCCCAATCCCAATAACTTTTCGTAACAAGGGACGGGTCATCGACAAACATGTATTTCAATCTCAACCCATAGATTATTCAGTTACGAAATCATCTACCTCATGCGAGCCTAGGTCTACGACTTCTCCCCTTTCGGTTCTAAAAGTCGCTAATTAACTAGAAGGTGATTAATCAACTAATCATATAGAATTGACAAACCCTAACTAGACAAATCAATATTCAACTGTTACCAATTGCAAGATCGAAGTGTCACTCTTCGATTATATCAATCAATCAAGCACAAATTCATCAATTCTGAATCAATTCAACTCACATGAACATGAACAAATCGAGCCCGACAAATGCACGTCAAACAAGAACAATCATCCCCTATCCCAATCGGATTTAGCTAAGCATATCAAATTCAACACACGAACACATATCTCCAAAATCAACCATTTTCATGAATTAATTTAAAGAGAAAAGAAATTCTTACAATTTATTCAATCCAAGTGTTGAACCTTCATACAAGCTTGAATCCAAAATGCAAAGAAGAAGAAGAAGAAAGAAATGAAAATAAAAGTGAAAAGAAGAAGAAAGAAAAAACGAAGAAGAAGAAGAGAGGGAGGAGAAGGGGTTTTTTGTGTTTTTCTGGACCTAGGGTTCGTCCCCAGGAGGGGGAGAATGAAAAGAATCCCAAGGAAAACGAGTTTTGGGGGGTTTTTATACAATTCTGGAACTTGCAGGGGGCCTTAGCGCCGCTAAGGGGGGGTTAGCGGCGCTAGGGGGGGTTAGCCGCGCTAGGGGGGTGTTAGCCGCGCTAGAGGGGGGTTAGCCGCGCTAGCTGCTAGCTAGCGGCGCTAATGCTCGGACAGCGGCTTTTCTCTTCAGCTCGCTAGTACATGGCAGCGGCGCTATCCTGTGTGCCTTAGCGCCGCTAAGGTGCCTTAGCGGCGCTAGGGTTCTGGGCAGCCTGCTGGACTTTGCTTTTCGGGCTCGTTTGGGCTCGTTTGAACTCGGAATTGAGTTCCGTTTTTTCCTACGCGTAGCTAACGAACCCCTCTATCTAACTATGTAATCCCAGCACATATTTTCCTGAAAACTTGTCCTCCCAAAGCTTCCGACCTGCACACCAAAAATGAAAGAAAAACGAAGAAAACCGGAAAAACATACGAAAAACACAAAAATACTCACAAGAACGCGAAACACGAAATAAACGACAAAACGACTCTAAAACCACACAAATGACTCAAAATGGGGGAAAAAGAACCAGAAGATAGACACGAAAAACGTAGCAAAAATGGGACAAACAGATATCATGTTCAGGTATGTGTATGAGTTTTATCCGCTTGGGGTTAAGGCCAAGCTTACCTTCCCTAAGTTCTGGTGGTGTCCCAGTTCGCCTTAAATATACCATCAGAGTGTGCACACGGTACCGGCCAAAGTGTCCGGGAGTTTACAGTTACCGGCCAGAGTGTCCGGGAGTTTCAGTTTACTTATATATACCAGTATTGTGATATCATTATTATTATTGTTGTTTACTTTAGCCTGGGTTTTTATGGAGTACAAGAGGACCAGTACCCACCCCCATTATGTTTTTCAGATGACAGGGTCGGCGGGCAGGCGTGAATCCAACTGTGGTGGTTGTGGTCGTTGATTGGGCACAACAAGCCGATTCGTGGACATGTGTTTACTCTGTTTTGTATAACTATTATGCCACGCATTTTAAGACTTCTGCTACGTTTATTTTTTGTTCGAACTTGCATGACAGTACTTTTCAGACTTAAATAATCTACCCAGTTCGCCAGTACGAACGGGACCAGTTTAATATGCATGTTCGATAAAAGATTTAAATCTGTTTTTCTTAAAGTCTAAACCAGTCGTTAGACCAAAGTTAAAAGAGAACGGATTTTAAAGCAGATAAGTTTTTAGCAGCATCCCGAGTTAGTTTGCAAATGATTTCAAAAATTTATAAGCGTTTTCAAAGGTAGAATTTGCGAAAAATTGGCCCTAAGTAGCGGGGTGTTGCAATAACCATAAAACCAACATAGGCTTAATCATAAAACCATTGCCATAATTATAACACAAAAAGTTAAGTGTTTAAGATCCCAAACATAAGCTAACCACAGCCAATCCCAGTTTCAATCCAAAAAACAATCTTAAGAACATCAAACCATAGCATAATCAAAACACTAATTAATGTTTCTTCATCTAAAAAAGGCAACTACATCAATTCTTCTTCTTTCTTTTGCCCTTCCCTTGTACCATTTTTGTACTTTGTTTAGCAAGACATGCATTCAAGTCTGAAAATGTGACCTATTTCCGGGGCTTCATGTTATATGCTGAAGATCCACCAGGCTCATTGTTCTGTTGGGACTGAAGTTGGTCCCATATGGTTGGAGGTTGTTCATGTGTAGCCTCATGCAATTCACCATCCTAAAAAGCAGAAAAGCTTTAGTATCATGATAGCAGCACCATATTATGATGAAAATGTAAATAACTTAACTTTACTAAAAATTATCACATGGATAGCAATATGCTGATTTGGATTTGATGGCTTCTTAGATGGCTTCTTAGGATTGGGAATTGAGGTCTTAGGAACCTATAAATTGCAAGTAATTAAGTACATATAATGAAATAAATGAAATAACATTATGATTATCATTATCACCTGTGGAGTTGGAGGGAGAATAACTTCTTATTGAGTGACTTGACTTGCAAATTTAGTTGTTGTATTTTAATGAAACTATGTAATTATGAAAAAATAAAAAATTATGTAAAGGATAAGAATAAACATAGAGGATAAGAAAAAATTATGTAGTATCATTATCACCTGTAGAGTAGGAGGGAGATTATCCTCTTGAGTGAGCTGACTAGTAAATTCAGTTTGGCTAGACATTTCACCTAAGGATGTGCTTTTGCAATGATTTTTGTTATATATGACCCTTTGCACCACAGTTACTACAAGTGATCACACTCTTTTGCCTTGAAATCTTGTAGGGATTAACACATTTCTGCCTTCTCCTCCTCTTCTTTTCTTTTGGCACAACCTCATCAGGTTCTAGCCTTCTAGCTCTTGTGGGTCTACCTGACCCTGTCCCAAAACTGGGGGGCTTGGCAGGTATAAAGTTAGACATAGGCCATTGGTCTCTGCCATTCATTGGCATCAAGATGTTTGCATATACAGCTTTGTAGGTATCCACATAGTAACATCTTTCAACAAAGTCATTTATTTCAAACTCCCCACATCTAATGGCAGATAATGCATGAACACAAGGAATTCCAGTGAGATCCCACTTCCTACAACCACAGGTTCTACTGGATAAGTCAACAAAAAATTGAGAACCATTGTTGCAGCTTATCTTATAGTTATATTCACTTGCTTTTATAGGGATACAATCAGGAATGTTCTGCAGGTTTTCTTGCACAATCTTATCAACCCTAGGGCAAATGACACTACTTTTCCATTTTTTGCTAGCCCTATCTCTGGCCTTTTGCATTTTTTCCATCAAATACAACTGAATCATTTCCAGCATAGTTAGAATAGACTTCTGTCTAGCCTCCAAAATGTTCCCATTAAAGGTCTCACGAAGATTGTTTAACAAGATGTCTGACTTAGCCAATGTGCTGAAATGAGATCTACTCCATTGGGCAGGAGGCTTGTCTTTAAGCCAGTCATAGGCCTTCTCATCTAGTTGTCTCACATCAGACATCCTCCTTACAAAATCATTCACAGTTGTGGCCTTTCCTGCCCTCCACATAGCTATTTTGAATGAATGTCCTTGAAAACCAGTTGTCCTCATGTTGTTTTGCATATGTCTAATACAAAACTGATGTTCAGCATTAGGAAATACATCATTGCATGCATGGATAAGACCTTTCTGCTTGTCTGACATAAAGCACCATTCATAATCATTTTCAATTCCAAGATCAGCCTTCAATAACCTCAAGAACCAACCCCATGATTCACCATTTTCAATTTCAACAACAGCATAACAAATAGGAAAAATATTGTTGTTTGGATCCAAACCCACAGCTGTTAATAGGACTCCACCTTGTGCACTCTTTATATGACACCCATCCACTCCAATAACCCTTCTGCACCCATTTAGAAAACCCATTCTCACGGAAGCAAAACAAACATAAATCCTCTCAAATGTTTGATCCTGGTGGAGCTCAATTAGCACAGTTGAATCAGGGTTAGATCTCCTGACCTCATTTGCATATGCCCACAATAGTGTGTATTGTTCCTCTATGCTTCCTTCCAGCTGCTCCAAAGCAAGTTTCTTTGCCCTTCATGCCTGAAATGGGGTGATATTACACCTGAGACTTTGCACACAATCAACTCTGAATCTTTTAGGTTTTCTTGTAGGATCTGACTGGAACTTGTGGAGATATCTCCCAGTTAACCAAGTTGAATTAAGATTTTTAACATTCATGGTCATTGGACAAGAATGTTTGGAGACATATTCTCTGATTTTATATGTCCTTGAATCATTAACCTTTATAGCATGCAGCCTCCATTCACAATCATGCCCAACACACTTAGCATGCAATCTGATAGTGTCATTCTTAGTAATTTTCACATTTCTTTTTTCCCTAATTGCATCTGAGTGAACTGCCATCCTGACTTCTTTCTTTGTGCTGAAAACCATTCCAAGCATCAACCTTGGATTGTACAATTGCCCTGGATTGAACAGAGGAGCAACCTCCTTGTTCACCTCCTCTTCATCAGGCTCCTTCCAACTGTGGTAGTCATCCTCACTTTCCACCACATCTACATCACCTAATTCATCATCTTCTTCAGAAGCTCCAACATGGAGTGATGTATTGTTATCACACCACTCCACATCAGAGTCTATGTGTTCAGTGAAAATAAGATCATCAACTTCATTATCACATTCTTCAGAATTAGGCTCAAATTCAATATCTTCACTATTATCACTCTCACCACTACCATCTCCCTCATCATTTTTACCTCCCAATTCAGGCTCACAGTCCCTTCTTTCACAATGCCCACCAGCCTTAACTCCCACTTCAGCTTCAGAATCCTTTCTTTCATACTGCCCACTAACCTTAACTCCCAACTCAGTCTCATAGTCATAATTTGCCAATGATTCATCATCTATCTCCCAATCATTACAGTCTTCATCACATGTGAGGCACTTAACCCCATTATCAGAATAAATAATGAACTCTCTAGAACCATTTATAGCCCATTTCATGAAAACAAGTAATTCCTCATCTTTTTTTATTTCAGTAATGAGACCTACCTCTGCTTTTCCCCAGTAAGTAATGGTCCCCTCCATTTTCTCTCTAACTGCCAGCCTGTGAAGTGCTTCTAAAGACATCACACCTTCTTGGACGAAGTCGAACTTGTAAGCTGCCCCACCGATGTACTTCTTTTCCTCACCATTAGTATGGAAATGTCCCCTAAAATGGACACATAAGGTGAAGAGTTGGCTTTTCGAGTTTGCATACAAATCAAAAAAATAGATTATGTCAAATTGGACTGCAAATTAGATGACGACAATGAACATTTCACCTAGGGTTTCAAAAATACCACATGAACTTGAAATTCAAAAAATTTACAAACATTTCTCAAATTGAGAAACGAACTTTTGATGATTCGAAACATTTACAAACAAACAAGAACTTACCATAATCGGATGGTGGAAATTCATAGTGTTCAGGTGGCCTAAACATCATTAGATTGTCCATTGTCCTCTGTGTCACAATTTTCAGTGAACAGAAATTTTGCAGAAATCGGGATTTTTTTTGTTATTGGTTGAGAAAATGACGATTAGGGTTTGTGTGTGTGTGTGTGTGTATGATATTTTCCCTCCAATTTAAGGCATGACATAGCATTTGTCGATCTATATTCCCGACGTGGCTCATAAAAGAAAAGAAAAAATGAAAGCAAATTCCATGTAAGCAGCCGGTAAGAATTACCTACAGTAGCCGGTGTGAGGACGATTTCTCACGATTTTTGGTACTTACGAGACGTTTTCCAAAAGTGGGTATCCGAGAGGACTAAATCTCAATTTGGGTCCACTTACAGGACTAAATCTCTAATTTTTCCTAGAGATAAAATACAGTTTTACGAACATTGGGATTGTAAAACAAGTACACCTTATGAAACGATTTTTTCAACCTAAAAGTCTAAAACTACATCTATAGTGAGAGAGGGAGTAATAATTATTAACATATAACTGCAAAAGCAATCTAATGTGTCAGGGCCGTCGTTTTATTTGAACAAAATACATACTTATTACATAAAGTATCACACTTTTATTTATAATGTTTCGTAATACTACAACAAACATCCTTAGTAGAAACAACCCAATATTGTGCCTATAACTATTGAAATCAAGGGCGGAGTTAGAAATTTAAAATACCTGGGCTAATGAAATTGCGACCTCCGATGTATTTTAGTTTCAAACTCGACAATTATAGTATCATTGCTAATCTTTTCGACTAACTCCTTTTCAATGTAAATAGTCATGGAATCCTCCATAAACTCTTCTTCCAACTTATTACGAAGAATTGTCTTGACAAGTTTTATAGCCGAAACACTCGCTCTGTAGTTGCCGTAGACACAGGGAGAGTCAAAACAAGACGAATTAACCTGAAAAAATAAATTAAATAAATTAGATCGAATAAATATACTAGAATTAATTAACAAAAATGACTTAAAGGCAATTTCGGTTGTACCTGTCAATCAAGTTGTAGATTTTTGACTTATTTGTCTCAACTAATCTTCGATATTAGATAAGTCTTAAAATCTCTCATTAGTAATAACATCAAGCTCGTAATGGTTCAATTGCAATCTTAAGTGGGGCAAATCTTGGCATCAAAATCAAAAGGATAGAAGCGTTCGGCAAGACGATGAATATGATCCGCATTGAACAATTTAAAGCCTTCTTTTGGTTCCAAGGCACAACTAAGCTTAAGAAGTTCAGCCACTTCATTCTTATATCTACTATTTATCTCTTCAATTTGAAAATCTATTGCAGAGTTAAATACATCAAAATGATAATGATGCTCAATTGTGATTGAATCACTTTGATGACTTGAACAGCGTGCAACGGATTTATAGAGAGCTTCCATTTGAGGCACCTCAATATCATACTTGACACAAACTTCCTTCACAATTTGAAGATGGGTACCAAAACCTTCTTCTCTCAACGTTAGAAGTAACGTTTTAGTAGTTGAAATATTGTCCACTGCACTTAAAATATCTAAAGACTTCTCTTGCAATGCCCGACAAAGTAAATATGTTATTCCCATTATTTGTTGCATCAAGTAGAATATGAATATGAAATCAAAAGACTTCATTGCAATCAAAAATCACTTGCTTCACCTCGAATGGAATTAGAAGATCCCTCATCCATCATTTTCTCCAACACGACAATCACGGAGCTATACATATCTATCATACTACAAAGTGAGTCAAAATTAGAACTCCACCGAGTTTTTCCTGGCTTGAGTAAATTCCCAACTTGATTGCACCCTCTACCTGTAATAGGGCTGAGCATGGGGCTCGGATAATTCCTAACCGTTCCGAAAATCGAACTGATATCACTCTTGAACCGAAAAATATCCGTTGACCGTTTGACTTTCTCCGAACCGAACCGAACCGAAAAAAAAAAATTGGTACGGTTCTAGAGATTTCATAAATATCCATACCGAGAACCGAACCGAACCGTCCCGTATCGTACCGAACTGAAGAACCGAAATTAAGAACCGAATTATAAAAATATGTGCGTGTTATTAATATATTTCATGTTAACTTTGATCATATATAATTTGAGAATTTTAAAATGCAAATAAAGTAGTAATAACAATTAAGATTCGCTTACATTTTATGTTTAGTAATACTTGATATATAATTTAATTTCTCTTGTTTAAAAAAAAATAAAATGGAATGTAAGGTTAAAGATTTAAAAAAAAATATTTAAGTTTTATTTAAAATTTTCGATACTTAGCCTTAGTTTATCTTATAACTAACATGGTATGGAAGGTTAAATAAATATTACTTGAATATAAAACTGTATTATATTTTGTTTGAATTTTAAATTTTTAATATTAGTTGAATTTAGTTTTAACTAAAAGTTAGGGTTACTTCTAAAGTTGATTTAAAAATAAAATCTTTAGTATGATGAAGTATTGATAAATGTTGGATTTAAAAAAAAAAACATATAAAAATAAAATATAACTAGGTGGTCATTCAAAAAAAATTTAAATATGATAAGAAATCTCCGAATATCCGAACCGAACCGAACCGAACCGAACCATTCCGATAGTCCCGAAAATCGAACCGAACTGAACCGAAAAATAAAAAACTCTGAACCGGACCGAACCGATTTTTGGCTACGGTTCTGGATATCGAATTTTAATGATCTACGAACTTCGGTACGGTTCGGAGATTGATAAATCTCCAGAACCGTACCGACCCATGCTCACCCCTAACCTGTATCACGCTTCCCCATTGCTACCATATGTGCAATTTCATTTTTTTGAGCAACTTGCAAATCACAATGGCGTTTGGGAGAGGCATTTAAAAGATTACCGATAACATTCAATTTTGAAAAAAAATAACCAAATGGATTCCTCTTTTTCAGCAGCTGCAACCAATGCTAGTTGAAGTCAATGCACGAAACAATGCACGTAATATGCACTCGGACAATCTTTCAAGAATAGAGCGTGCAATCCACCCCACGAGTCACGTATATTGCTAGCACCATCATAACCTTGTCCATGCATATTTTGAATTTGCAAATCATATCGATTTAGAGCATCCGATATTTCTTTCTTTAGCGTCCCGACGGTTGTATCAATGACATGAACAATAGAAAAAAAAACGTTCTCTTGTAAAGCCATCAATATCGACAAACCTCAACACAATTGTCATTTGCTCTCTGTTGGAATTATCTATCGCTTCATCCACTAAAATGCAGAATTTCGCGGCTCCAGCTTCCTCACGAATTTTGGATCTCACTTGGTGAGCAAGAATATTTAGAACATCTTTTTGAATTTCTGGAGAAGTATACTTCGCATTTCTTGGAGCATTCTCTAAGACTACGTCTCCAATGCTATCATTCATTCTTCCCATGAATTTTATTATTTCGATAAAATTTCCACGATTAGTTGATAATATAGATCATCATGTCCTTTGAATGCACATGCTTGCAAACTGAGCCATCGAATGCTTTCAATAGTTGTTGTTAGCTGCAATCTATTCTTTTGTTTCTCCTCCAAAGTTTGTGCGTTGATTAGCTTATCAACATGATGAGGCACATTCATCGAACAATC